GGGCTAATGATTTACAGTTTTCTGAGAACAAGCCTATGATCCGCTGAACCAAAACGATCATAAAATTGGGTAATTCTTAGCCATTACCTCATTAATAATTGCGATCATGTGCCTTTTTAAATATGTGAAAACTGCGTTATATCGTACTTTCAAGATTTACAAATCACATTCCAGTTATCCCGAAAGTCACAAAGAATTTAAATTTAAATCAGCCCAGTAGCATAACAAACCTCGGTCTGTAAACTTAACGATTAATAAGAATTTTCTACTCCTGTTATGTGCCACTGTAGGAGCTACTGATCAGAGACATTAAAACGTAATGGCAACGTCATGGAGAGTAAATGTATCGTTATTCATTTTCAGTTAAGCTGCAAGGCCGTCTGAAAGCTTGACTTCTCTCGCGTATCCATATGTTTGCCACCCATTTTGTTCCGGCCAGTACTGGACACACCGCATGCAACGTCGACATATCTGGTTGGCCGCTCTTGCTTAGATTGTGCCAAAACACAGCATCGTTCTAAATTATTCGCCAAATTTATAAATCATACCGTTTCCTAAAATTGGAAAATAATAACAATATTATTAAGATAATAATCCTGGATTTACGGAACGAAAACGTACCATGTGAAGAAATACATTTTTCTTACTCTACACCGCAGCTAAAGTGATGTATGATAGATGAAAATCCTTACACCGGGATATACCGCAACAATGCAAAACCCCTTGCTTCTAATCGCCTAGGGAAAACATGCAATTAGGCTACGGCTCTGTGGTATTTAAGTGCCCGCAGTGCATAACATGCAAGACCGCGTCTCTGAATTGAGAGAAAAGGAAATTTTCAAGCAACAACCAGACTGCTACTAACCGCAGGAATATATAATAAAAATGTTCTCAATGAAGTGCTGTATTTTCCTATTTCAGGCCACCGTGGGTCATGCCAGTGCGGAACAAAATTTTATACGCAATGACAATACAAAGCGTTGCTGGAAGCGAACTTCCTCTCCTAATATCGGCTGATCCAGATGATTTCTTGGTTTATTTTTAAGGGTTTCAAATATGCAGATCATATGAAAGTCAGACTCAAAGGTCAGCAAAAACCAAGTGAAAAGCTGCGTTTCACCGAGCAACTGTACATTAAATGATCAGCCCACTCTCACGACTAGGTAAGCCTTTTCTAAGTGATGGTCTTGCAGTTGTGCGGGAACCCGCTCGGGAAGGTTGAGGGCGGTGGTATTGATCATCATTCACCAAACATGTGTGTCCTTGAGAAAAACCCAAGAAACCGCTCTACTGTGATGAATGCGTTGGGTTTGCTTAAGGTTGAACAGACGATGGTAATAGTTCGAGAGGGTTCACTCCTTGA